GAAACCCCAAAAAAAAAAAAAAAAAAAAAAAGATGTTAAAAAAAAAAAATAAAGTATTGTCTCTTAAGATTTAGCCCTAGGTTTTCCCTCTCAGTAGAGGAATAAATGTGTTTGTTTCTGTTTATAAAAATCATACATGGTCACGGAAGGAAGGTATAAAAAGAAAATAAAATTCTTTCCTAATCTTACCGAACGGGATAAGTTCTACTACATCGTCACTTGATGGTAGCTTTAAGCGTAAAACTGTACCACACGTTAACTTCATTGCGCACACACACACATACACTTTCTTCTAAACTGAGACTATACTGTATCATTTTGTATCCTACATTTGTAATGATATTACAACATAAAAGTACCTTCCGAACATTGTCTTATTAAATATTCTTTTAAAATGAAATATGTTTTTAGAGATCTTTTCAGTCATAATTTTACATAGATATATAAATGAGTTTGTGCCATATGTGCTTTTTCACCATTTTGTGGGTTTTAATCTATTATCTTGTTATGGTTCTGTTTAAACCAGGTAGGTTTTGTCATTGTCTCATGTGCTCTGTTGACAGGTCAGGTAAAGCTCTGCTGTGACCGTGCTTTTTCCCGGTGATACAGCCCCTCAGTGTGTGATGGGGAGGGCACATTTTGGTGATGAAATGGAACCTTCTTATTCTTCCCTGGCTGCGACGTTCTGTCTCTGATGTATAGACATGAGTCAGTCACCAGAGTTTCTCAATCTGGCCATCCACACCATAGTGAGGAGTAATTCCCTCTGGAGAATTGGAAGCATTGGACAAAATCCTTAGTTTATGATGGGTTGGTGATTTTTGCATCCTTCTCTATGTTTCGTGAATATTTGGATGGGAAACTGAAGGATGGTAAACCAGGTCCAGCTGTCTAGTGGCAATAACATCCAGAAGTTTCTCCCCCTCTCTCTTCATGAATTTTTCCCATTCCTGTGTAATCATATTGTACTTTTCCACATTGAAGGGCATAAAGAAATCCATGCTCAGGTCAGGTCAAATCCTGTCATAAATATTCTGTTCCCTGAGGATTCAAGGTCAGGGAGAGTTTATCAAAGATACTCCAGATTCTTTGTCATCTCTCCTTCCTTGGCTCTTTTTTCCAGAAATTCCAGGACAACACTCCAAATACTTTTTCCTCCACCTGACACCAGAAGAGTTGGAGCCTGGAAAGAAGAAAGGAGGTTTAGTCATCACTAGCTTTGTGACTTTGGTTCTCACTTCCTAATGACAAAGTGATAGACTTGACCTACGTGTCCTCCAGCACGCCTTGTAGTTTTAAACTGGTAGCGTTTCTGAAGGATTCAGCTGTAACTGTTCTGAGAGATGCTCTTCACTTTGGCTTATTTTTCTGTTTTCTTCTGAAGATCTCATCTTACAGAGAAAAATAGTCCATATGCTTCAATACATCTGTGTTCTACTTTGCTTCTTCTCAATTATTTTATGACCTTAGGAAAGTCTTTGAGTTTATGCCAAGTTTTGGCATAAAGAATAAGAAAAACGTCTTGGGTCTGGCTGAAGAAGGTATCCACAGTCAAATATGTTTGGAAATTACTTCAGATCGTGCCCCCCGCTTAGTTTTGCAATGACCCGTCACTCACTAAAGACTCTTAGAAGCTCTGCAATAAGGGAACCTGTTTAATTTTGCTTAATTCAGAATTTCCCAAACATATTTGATCTTGAAATCCTTTTATTTCTGGTAGCACCCATAACATCCCTCATAATTAATGTCCCTGCCATGCATAGAGGATGCACAGCTCTGGAAGGAAGGACATCATCCCAAATTCTGCCCTTTATTGATGATGTGATCTCAGAATAAATACATTACCTCTGTGCACCTCACATTGCTCATATATCAAATGAGGGTACATAATAGCAGCCACTTCATGTGGATGAAGATTTATAGGAATATAATATGACTATGGTAATTGTGACTAATAATATTCCAACTCTGAGGTCTGGCTGTCTGGGTTTAAATTTTGTCTTTCCACTTACTGGCTTGTGACCTTAAAAACATTACTTCTGTACCTCAATTCTTCATCTGTGTGATGGGGACAAAAATTGTACCATTCTCACAGAGTTGTTGGAGGAATTCAGTCTGATTCATGTAAAACATTTAGAATTGTGCTTGGCCCACGGTAGGTACCTAGTAAGATGTTAGCACTTATGATCGTCACTGTTTGTGCTCTTGTTACTTCTATGACTGTATCAGGTGAAAGGTATTATTTTAGTTTCTTTTTTTAATTGGGATATAATTGACATATGAGTCTCAAGTATACAACATTAATGATTCAATATTTGTATATATTTGTGAAATGATCACCACTGTGAGTCTAGTTAACATCCATCACCATACATAGTTACAGTCTTTTCTTGTGATGAGGACTTTTAAGATCTCTCTTAGCAACTTTCAAATGTACAATACAGTAGCATTAACCATAGTCGTCATGCTGTACATTGCATCCAGATTAGTTTTGTCTTTTTTTTTTTAATAAATTTATTTATTTATTTTTTGGGTGCGTTGGGTCTTCGTTGCTGCGCACAGGCTTTCTCTAGTTGCGGCGAGCAGGGGCTACTCTTCACGGTGGCTTCTCTTGTTGCGGAGCACGGGCCGCAGGTGCACGGGCTTCAGTAGTTGTGGCTCGTGGGCTCTAGAAAGCAGGCTCGGTATTTGTGGCACGGGGGCTTAGTTGCTCCGCGGCATGTGGGATCTTCCCGGACCAGCAATTGAACCCGTGTCCCCTCCATTGGCAGGTGGATTCTTAATCACTGCGCCACCAGGGAAGTCCTATTTTAGTTTTTAAAAGCAACTCCTCTCACTTCAGAAAGCAGCTTAGATCCAGCACATTATTAATGCAGCATCGTACCCCTTCTGCAAATGCTTCATTCTGCCGTGTTGATATTGATCTTGTCTTCATCTAGAGTCTGTGACCCATGTCTTCCATCATCTAAGTTTTTCTGTTTGTGTGCAGGGGCGGAGAGGCCTCGGCTCTGTTTTTGTCTGGGCATCGGGAAATGGTGGGAGGAGCAAAGACCACTGCTCCTGTGATGGCTACACCAACAGCATCTACACCATCTCCATCAGCAGCACAGCCGAAAGCGGAAAGAAGCCTTGGTACCTGGAAGAGTGTTCGTCCACGCTGGCCACAACCTACAGCAGTGGAGAGTCCTATGATAAGAAAATAGTATGTGACCTTTGCATGTCTGGCATGATTGGTTTATTTGTCTTTCACTTTGGAACACAAATGGAGACCGTACATTTATATGCACAAGTAATATATGGAAATAGAAAGATTAGCTGATTACTCAACACAGGTATTTGTAAATATTATCGTTCCGTTACCAAGTCATTGAAAAAGCCTGTCTGGGTCATTACATTCCAGCATTGAATGTGGCCTTAGACATGATTAAGCTTCAGATTTATGGAAGACAAATGAATGGACTACATTCACCTTGTGAGTAGGTGGCAGAGAAAAGACAGTGTGGGATCCTCAGCCCAGTTCCCTATCACTCTGTCCCCGTACTGCCTTTGAACTTCAGCTTGAGTACTTGGGTTTCAAAGTAGGTCCAACGAATTCAGTGTGACCTAAACCTATGTAAAAGGTGCACAGTAGTCCTGTGTGATCTGCTTACCAACATGCTCTGCTCTCTATGCATATGGTAAAATGGTTAAGAGTTCAGGTTTGCAGGTCCAGCCTGCGTGGCTTTCATTCACTCTGGAACTATTTACTAGCTGGGGAACTTTGGATACATGACTTAATTTTTCTGTCTCAAGATCCTTACCTGTAAAATGAGGGCATTTAGTAATACCTAGTTCATGGAGTTATTTCAGTGATTATGAGGAAGTAGATAGAAAGTGCTCTGCACACTACCTGACCCATTGGTGCTCAAAAAAGGTCTTTTAGGATGCCCCACACTGTGCGACTGACTCTAAGTTTCAGACACCTTTGCACTTTGCTCTTTTCCTGATCATGGTTTTATAAAATGTCTCGTGGTTTGTCTTTCTAAAGTGGAGCTAAGCTGCTATACGTGACACTTTTTAGCATTTAGCCAACACTGTGCTTTCAGATCCTGTGATTCACGCAGGTTTGGTTCACTCTGCGATGCTCCATCTGGCTTTATACAGCGGTGGAAATAGAGGTGATAAGATACTCCCTCATTCCTGTAATTCTTCATTCATATCTATTTTGTTCCTCTTGATTCCTGATTACTATAGGATTTTCACGTTTGATTTCTCGGCTACCTTTCACTTTCCTCTTAAGTTACATTTTTCAGATTGATTTAAATAAAAACTGCCTACCCCTATGCATATCCCATCTGTCCCCATCTTTCTCTAACCCCTTTATAATAATTGGGTTAAAAATATGCACATGAGTAACCCTGGAAGTACCTCCATCATACATCAGTAAACATATTCCACAATACAAAGTGGAATATAAAAGGAGAAAATACAGAGGTGACAAGTTTTGAAGTTCCATGGCTTTCTTCATGGGAAAGTGATGCTCTCTGATACTTTACCATCATTATGGAAATGTTCTAATCTAGGAATGTTCCTTTGGCTTTCAAATTTGCTCATCTCTCAGAGCTCCTGGTCAAGGCCCACTAATACTGAGTGGCATCCATCAGTTCTGCATCATGAAAATCCTGATGAAAACTCTCTGGAATAAGAATTGTCTTCCCAAACTTCTGGAGTCTGAAGGCATGTTAATGAAAACTCGCCATTGCTTCACAGTAAATATGCCCATCTAGTGCTATTATTTCCTATGGGGCAGTTGTTGTGAGAGAGGTGTTTTCAAGTTCCATAAGTGCCTTCCTTAAGAGAAGATTATAATCCAGTGGGCAAAATGTCAATATAGTCCCAGATGGAAGAGCACAGTGCAGATAGAGGGACCTCAAAATTGCTACCCTGAGATTTACTCCTTAGACTTGACCTTCCTGGGCTTTTCATCACTATTTACTGTGATGGTGTGGTAGCTGCTATGACCCCCATTGACTGGCTGCTCATTTAGGATTCTTCCACAGACGGACAAATCGATCATTCTGTGGTGAGGGACAGGGCTTGAGAGGAAAGATGGACACCATGATTTAATGTCAATATCCTTGATTCAGGTCATATTTCACTTTTCCCTAGTTGCTGCTTCTGATATCAAAACCTTTACTGACTCACTCAATATATAAAGTTATCTATTTAACTTTTACTTGGCTCTACCTTTTGTTTAACCTCTCCCATTTTCATGGCAGCAACTTAGTACGAATTTTTCTCTAGCCAGTTCTCAGATTCTCTTATTTTGCCTGAATCTCCAGATTACCCTCAATTGGAGAGAAATGTGGTAGCTGTTTCAAATTATAATCTCTAGCTACAGACAGACCACTCAGTGGCTGAGTAACCTTTACCGAGCCTTGGTTTCCTCATCTGTAAAATGGAGGTAAAGCCAGAACCAACCTCATAAATTTTCATGAAGACAGCAATATACGGAGTATAAGGTACTTACACAACGCCTGGGCCAACGAGCCACCTAGTAAGTGGCTGGTACCCTTGTTCCCTAAGTCAGTGTAGCTTTCTGTATCGTGGGAGCTTAGGCTGGTCATTTTTCCAGCTGTTGTTAACAGAGGTGCTTGTTGCACCTTCGTTTTTCCAATCTGTAGAACCACGATCTGTTCCACCCACCCCGTAAAGAATGGCACTTTGATGGTAAACACGTTAACAGTTGGAACATGAGTAGAGTTGGCGGCAACATCAGGCTTTTATGGTCCAGCTGCCCCTTTTCCTTCTAGATGTCAGAATGACAAATAATCCTGCTCTGCGCTTGGGACCTTTTCTTCACCACGCTTTGAACCAGATGTCTGTGGTCCCTCAGAGATGCCCGCATCCTGTTAGTGGCATCCGTGATTGAGTGTTACCGGAACAGCAGTGTCTCCCTTTGTTCTGGGGCTCCCCTCCCCAGTCCGTCCATTTCCTTTTGTCATTTGCAGCTTCTTCAGAAGAGCACCGTTGTCATTCTTCATTCATAGAGCACCTTTGTGAGCTGAACTGAGGCAGACGCTGAGGATCTAGGAGAGAGGAAAGATCTCACTGCTTCTGGGATAGCACTTTCGTTAAATAATTTTTTCTTGTCCTTTTCATGGTGTGCAAGTAAGAAAACCTTGCCCTGAGTTTCAGAAAGTAGCCAAGTCTCCATCCCTTGGTTTCCTACCATCACTATCGTACAGTTGTGGACCTTGGTATTCCACACATGCTTTAATAGATTCGGATCAGTGATGGCCTTGAGCCTTATTATAGCAAGTGAAGCAACCAAAATATCAAGATTACTATGATAAGAAGCTCCCCTGTAAGGTAAATAGAAATAAGTTGAAGTGACTGGTTATTATGAAATAATGTTTTTATTAACAACACCGTATACATTTTATTCCATGCCAGACATGTAGTACATTTACAGTTATATTAACATGTCATAAATATAACATTTTTTTCCCTTCTAATGTGTGCCTGGTAGTGTGCTATGCACATTGAATGCATCCTCTCTTTGTATCACCAAAACATTATGCAGGAAGATCAAGTATTGTCCCCACTTTACAGATGAGAAAACTAAAGTTTGAAAGGTTAAAAGAAACACACGTAGTAAGTGGTAGAGTCTGGATTCCAACCAAAGTTGTGTTGAACCCCCAGCCCACCTTGTAACCAATGTGCTGTCATGCCCTGGATCCTTTCCAGGGACATCCAGCATGGGGCTGTATAAAAGAATGGTGCTTTTCTTGCCTGTTTGGGGTTGTCTTCACAGTGGTTAAAAAAAAAAAAAGAAAAGTATGTGGACTATATAGGCATCCACTCTTTTTCACTACTTGGCCCACTCGTTCTTTTTGAATATGGAAAGTAATTTTAATTTTTAAATTTATTACCTTTACTTTCATTTATATTCTTGATGACAGTGTATTCAATCAAATTTTATACACTCCGAATACAATGAGCAATTTGCTTTATAGTCCTTTAGATAAGCGTTGTCCAGTAGAACTTTCTGCTAGGATGGAAAGGTTCTCCATCTGTGCTGCCAAAATGGTAGTCACTAGACACACATGGCTGTCGAGCATGTTAAATGTGGCCAGTGCAGTGGAAGAACTTTAATTTTAATTCCGATTAAATTTTAGCTGATTTAAATTTAAATATCCACATGGGACTATTGGTGACTATATTGAACAGCACATTTTTATTTTTATGGCTCACTAATTTTGAATTTCATGCCGTTAGACCTCTTCCTAACCCCCTCAGACGATCGATCGGTCTTCTTGCAAAACACCTAAGCCCTTTGCCAGTCTAAGTGGCTAATTCCTGTGGCCTGGCGTTGAACTCCCCAAAGTTACCTTTTGCCTTTTGTGTGATTTCAAACCAGGGCCCTCCTGTGCGACTCGTGTCATCTGGCAGGAACACTCTCTTCCCAGAAACCACTTCATTTATGCCTCTTCTCAAATCTCCTATCAGGGAGGCTGTTCTTCCTCACCTTCCCCTGAAAGAGTGGCACTCCCCTCCCCCCAAACTCTACTCTTTTATCCTGTTCAGTTTTCTTTCTAGCGTCCTTAGAGCTACTTAACATGATGTTATACGGTTTTTTATTGACTGTTTTCCATGCTAGAATGGAAACCACTTGAGGTTGAAGACTTTGTTCTTTCCCAGAGCCTGAGCTTGATAAATGTTCAGGAGTAACTGACATTGAGAAAGAGAGAAGCCTCACAAGGCGTTTAAACAGTCACAGGTGGCAGGTAGGTGCTCTCTTTCTTTCAGAGAATCTTCCTCTACTGGTAGGTTGGAGAAAGGCAAAGGGTACGTGACAATATATTTCACATAGGAAATTGCCTGCAGGAATCCTGCTGTATAAAGCTGTACATCCAACTATCCTTAGTGTCAAGGAGCCTTAAAGATCCTGTCTTTATGTAACCCTTCACTACCTCCTGAATTTCTCCCAAGTTCTTTGTTAGAGGTAAAGCTCCCCTCTCTCCCCAGTCACTCCCATCATTAAATTATCTGTTTCTTTTGGGACTTGTTCAGCCTTTGTCTTTTTTTCCTCTAGTAATTTGTCTCAGTGATTGGAATATGGGGGCCATCGTATTCCTCCTGGGTCTTGTGAGCCCGGGTTTAAATATGTGCTCTGCTCAGCCCTCTTCTGATGTCATTTTATTTATTTGTGTTCAAAAC